TGCAGTTTTCTTATTTTACTTTCTTGTACTATCAGAGAGCCACTTGCAATAGCCAACGGCTTACAGCTTCTAGTAACTGTTTAAAACAAATTTATACCAGTAAATATTCGGATGGCCCTTTTAAACTTTTAAACTATTTTTCTTGAACTGGGTTAGAATGAAAAAATATATGTACATAAACAGGCACAGCAGCTTTCTGTGTTACTAGGTGGAAACCTTATTTAAATGCTCTTTTCATATATGTTGAAACAAAACAGTGTTTTTTGGCTTTTTTTCCACCACTATTTTCCCAATAGGAATGTTTTCTAGTAGCTAAATCTGAGTATAAGCAATAGTTGAATTTGACCATTTTGCTGTGGTTTAGTGAACTAGGATTTTCTGCCTCTTTCATTCAGAATAAATCAATCAATTGATCTCTATCTAGACTTCATAGTCGTAAAGGTCATGTGTTTAAAGTAACCAGCATAAACCAAAGCAATGAAGTCTGTAGTTGATTTGAAAAAAGTGCTGCTGACTGGGTTGTAAATTGTACTACATCATTTTGAGAGGTAGTTTATTTTGAAGCCAGATGATGATAAATTAAATTGAAAACTGAACTCTTTGCTGGTCAAAGCATGGAAGGAGAAAATACATGTTATAAAGCTCTGCTGTGAATCAAGGGTTAGGTTGGTGTCTCAGGTGGAGCTTCATTTGTGGCCAATCTTGGGAATGCTGTTTTACTCCCTGACTATAACAGTGGTTAAGTGAAGCTGCTTCTTAAAATCACTTGTATTCAAACCAAACCCGTACATCTTTAAAAGCAGTCCAAAGATTTGAACTAGCATTGAATCCTTACTTTGTGGTGCTGTATACTAATTTAATAGTCCATGCCGCCAGAAGTTTACCTTCTAAGAAGACGCAAGGCACTGATGGAATATAGCAGAGAAGAGAGAAGGAAGATGTGTGGGGCAGTAAGGTTACTTGTACTGTTAGCTGAATGTACAGTCTAGGGACTCAGGTAATGTGTGTGTATATATGTATTATAATCCTATCCCTTTTTTCTTTAGTTTAGTCATTTTTCATATTAAGAGTTGATGAATCTGTGGATTTCATTTTGGTTTCACTAAATCACATAGCATAGCCACTCGGGAATAAATTCTGAATGTCATGGTCATTGTGTCCCCAATTAAATACTTTGTATCCTTCGTAAATAAGCCTTCTATATGAAACAGTTTTATTATGTATAACAAAGGCCCACACTGTGGTCTGACCCCATTATGCTATATGATATAGACACATTACAAGCAGAAAAATGGAAAGCAATACTTCCAGTTGTCATGCACCCAGTGAATGTGCAGATTGTAAGCACTCTCACAATCCACCCCAGATAGCATGCATTTATGCTGAGTTATTGGAAAGACTGCAACTGTGTTGCCTGGCCAGTAGAAGATGCTCTAAGAACTACATGGCCTCCATGTCTCTGTTTCCCTATTGTAGCTGAGTGGAAATATAAACAGAAGATGAGAGGAGTGGTAGCAGAAATTTCTGACCTTTGTAACTTCCATTTTCCTCTATGCATTAAGCCTTGAATATTCACCTTCCCTCACTTCCAAGGGGTCTAACATCTATAGTCATCATCAGCATAAATGCCACCCACCATCCTCAGCTCCTACCTGGATGTCACATTTCTTGCCATACATCCCAACAACTGGCATCCCCATTTTTCCTCGAACCCCCTCCCACCAGCTTTTCTTACAAATCGAGCAGCCTGGTAGCCATATATATTAGCATCTCCCCCTGCAGACGTCCTCTAAGGCAGAAGGCGGGTAAAATGCGGCTCTCAGGCCATTCTATCCGGCCTGCCAGGCCATTCTATCCGGCCTGCCAGGCCATTCTATCTGGCCTGCAGGGCCCGTGAAAAAAAAAAAATTAGTAAATTAACATTTATTTGCTCCTGGCTGCCTTCCAAAGCTGACAGGAGCCAGAGGCAGTAGGACCCAGGGGAGCCCGAAGAAGGACTAAGCAGCCCAGCCCCACCCACCCCCAGCCATTTCACTCTCTTCCTGACCCTGCCCTGCTCCAGCACCACGTGGCTCCAGGCTGCATTGCTGGACTGGGGAGTACAGGGCCATGCTGGTATGTGTATGTGTGTGCGCGTGTGCGTGTACATGCAGGCAGGGGTGGGCAGTGTGTGTGTGTGTGTGTGTGTGTGTGTGTGTGCGCGCGTGTGTGCAGGCAGCATGTGCGTGTGCAAGGGTGCAGAGTGTGTGTTCATAGGTAAGTCCCACACACACACCCCACCATACACATGCACCCATACCCCCCTCGCACTTGCCATACACACAGAACCCCACACCCCCTCACACAGCCTACCCTCCCACACAAACCTATATGCACCCCCCGCAATATACAAGAGTAAGACTTCATTGTGAGCTATTGTGCAATCACCTCTATGGCAACTACACAAACACAAGTAAATCAGGACAAAAATATTTTTTGAAATCAAATCAATAAACGTTGTAGTTGTTTGCTTTTTAGAATATAATTTGTCATTTTTCTGGTTCCGAGATGGCAAAACTCCTTGCTGAAAAGAGTACTCCCCGGGGGAAAGGGGAGGGACTTCTGGTGGCAAAGGTCAGGGTTCAGGAGGAGGGACTTCTGGTCACAAGATGGCGACCAGGGGGTGGGGCACTTGTCAAGGGGCAGGTCTATTAATGTGGCCTTACCAAAACTCGTTAAGCAGCCCTCTGCCCGAAATAATTGCCTGCCCCTGCTTTAGGGATACATTCTGAAATCAAATTTCTTCAAACTATCTGATAGTCTACCCAGCCAGTCCACAGCTCCCCCAGCGTTCTGCCCCTGTGCACCTGTCCTAGGCCACTTTTGGCACCTCTTCACTCTACGTAGTTGCACACTTCAGTACATCCCACCTCTTATCTCTGCTACTACATGTGGCAAGCAATATTATCTGTAAAGTGAAATAAATGTATGCAAATTATTTGGTTTATGTAAAATGTCACATATGAAGCTGCACAAATTTTAGACGCTATGAGACTGTCCTGCCCCAAAGAACTTACCGTAAGGGTGAGCAACCCCTGGCACACAGGCCAGAGATGCGTGAGGCCATTTTGGTTGGGGTGCCACAGCCAGCCTGCACCCTGGGCTCTGGACAGCTGCTACCAGCAATAGAGCATGGGCTGTTCACAGCAGGCAGCTGGGGGGCTGCAAGCCCTGCTGTGAGCAGCCCTGACTCCATGGTGGCAGCAGCTGTCCAGAGCCCAGGCCTCGTGGTGGTAGGCACCTGGGAGCATAGGTGACGTGTATGGGGGGAACGGGGGTGCCCATGACCCCCACCTGAGATTGGCCACCGCTGGCTTCTGCCCCCACCTCACTGCAGGTGCAGCTGCGGGCAGTCCCTGCTTGCTGCTCCCCCCATCCTGCCGCTGCCAATGTTGTTGGTGGTAGCTGCAGGCATGCAGCATAACGAGCAAGGGGCTGGGGCTGCATTGCCAAGACAAGCATCAAATCCCTTGCAGCTTCCCCGCCATCCACCCCTGGTATGCCAACATCTTTCAAGTTTGGGTTGTGGCGTTTTTTGACACGTGGCCCAAAAATGTTGCTCACCCCTTGCTTACGACCTAAATGGGCAAGACAGACCTTCAGGAGAAGGGGACTATATAGTATAAGAAGAATAAAAGCTGTGATTTTTTTTTAAGCACTTGGTTAGTTTATATTTTTGTTTGTTATGAGGTGCTGCTAAAGTATTATCTGTGAACAAAGATAACACGCAAGGGGAATGAGGAGAAAAGAGAGGGCATTCAAGGAGATCAGCTGAGGCAAAACAGCTAAGATAGTGGAAGGAAAAAATTTGAGCCAAACACCAGTGGGGGAAAATGTTTTTAGAATTTTGTTGATCACATTTAGTATTTTTTTTCATTAAATGCATACACGTTTGTTCTAATATTCATGTTCAGTCTGAGCTATCCATTTTTAATTGAAGTTGCTACAGTCCATTGCTTTGGAAGTAAAAGGAGAGAAATAAATATCAGAAGGAATTTTTCTAAACTACTTGTTTAAGTATTTTGGTATTTAAACATGTAGCCTGTCATTCTTTCCAGCGTTAGGCACTGGTTCTGTCCAGTGCATGGCAGACTGATGCTAAGCTGCTTTTATGTAAACTAGACACAGCCAGTTAGTCCTGGAATCAGAGTTTTATGTCGGAATGTTATTATTAAATAATTCTGTGCAATTTAACAATATTCAACCTTTCCCTAACATCTGACTGTCCTGTGGCCATGCCACCAGACTTTTTAGCCCAGTGGGGGCCAACCTTATTGGCAGGTGTGCCACAGTGTGAGCCCCACATCATGTCACAGGGCCATTCTGATCCCCTTCCCCTACCTAAGCTGTTGCTCTGCTTTCTACTTATTGTCTGATCTGTTGTTCTGCTTTTTGCTCCCTACCAATCTGTCCCTGTGGTCCCTGCTCCCTCCTTGATATGCCTTGCACTATGCTGTGGGTAGGCCATCCCTGTGTTATCCTACCAAATGGGCATGTACTCATTAAGCTGTTTAAATGCCATTACATCAGGCAGTTGGAGTTGCCTAGAAATAAAAGGACTGCTTCAGTCATTAGATTTCATGGTCAGTAAGGAAGTGATTTGATATCAGCCAAGGAAAACCTCAGTATAAACAATCTAAATATAAGGAGGACTTACAAATAGCCTAAAGAAGTCAGAGAGCACATCTCAAGATGACATATTGCTAGGAACTTTGTGGGATGTAAAAGAATGAGGATTCCTCACTAGAGTCTTCAGTGTGTGAACCCACACTTTCCTAACAGTTGTCCATGGTTGTTTTATCACATGACTCAAGGTCTTTATTCTTGAAGTTTTTAAAATAGTTAACAAATACTTCTCTGTTTTGATTATTTCTTTTGCTAGAAGCCATGTTGGTAGGAAGAAAACATCTGTGACATAACTCTCTAATATAATTTTGTTTGTTTGATTTATATTGCTCTAGGCAGCACAGTCGGTGCTGATTTCCCTATTTGAACTTAACACTCCAGAGTTTACAATGTTACTAGGTGCTTTACCAAAAACATTTCAAGATGGAGCCACAAAGCTTCTCCACAATCATCTCCGGAATACAGGCAATGGTGGCCAGGTATGTATGCTTTTAAAACTTCAATTTTGTTTTTTGTCTGGTAATTCTTAATATTGTTGTGCTTTTGTGGAGGGAAATATTGGGAAGAGGGCCTGACTTATAAATAGGAGTAAAACCTGTTCTTCCAGATGAATGTGTGTGTACTGGAAAAAAATTATTTTCTTACCATAATAACTTTTAAGTCAGGGTGTCAAACTCATCTGGCCTCTGGAGCCAGATGAGGATACCTAAAAGAGTCTGTGGCCTGACCACCTGCAGAGCCAGGTCCTGCCTGCGTACTGCACATGAAAACTCCTGGAGCCAACATGGGATGCACACCGACTCTAGTTCATGGGCTGGACACTGTACTGCAGGAAAAGCAGGGAATCGTTCTAGGGTGCCATATGCACTGCTGCCATGTGCTGTGTGCAGCACTGGGTTCAGCCCGCATAGTGTAGGCAGGACATGACCCATGTTGGTCCTGGAGGCTGCGTGCACAGCAAGGCTTGGGGCTGGCCGGTCCAGCATGTGGTATGCGGGGCTGGCCTGGCCATGCACGTGGCATGAGGATGGCACAGCGCACATGCTCCATGTGGCATCTCACTGACCAGCACTGCATGCTGGTTCCAGGACTGGCAGGGTGTTGCCTGGAGCACATGCCCCATACCGGCCCCCAGTGCCTCGTACAACATGCATGGCTGTCAGCCCCATATGCCAAATGCTGGCTTGAGGTGTGTGCTACCTGTGGCAAATGAGCTGGACCTGGCACTTCACATTGCACAGGGCATCTGCATCACAGGCTGCACGCGGCATCCCAGACTGGTGTCCTGTGCTGCCTGCAGCACATGTGGTGCCAGATTTAGCCCGCATGCTGCATGCAGCACACTGGACCAGGGCCTGTCCAGCAACCCAGGGACCACTTTATATAGCTCCACGGGCCAGATCTGGCCTGCGGGTCATATGTTTCACACCCCTGCTTTAAGTAAACTGAAATAACTTTCACTGTATTTAACCTTCACAAAAAGTAAATTTCTCCTGCTTATTTTTCAGTTGCTGAAGTTAGTTGCATCTACCTAGGGAGTCTCAAAAAGGAAGGGGTTGGACCAGTAAATTTTGTCCAAACATTTCTGGTATTAAAGATTAAGCATAATATAAATGCAAAGGTAATGTGATTTTCTTCAGGAGTATCATTTTTTTTTCTTTCAGGGGTCAGTGGGAAGCCCCTTAACAAGGCCTACTCCACGCTCACCAGCCAGCTGGTCCAGTCCTCTCACTTCCCCAACCAATACATCACAGAATACTTTGTCACCAAGGTAATACAAGGCAGTATTGTAACTTCCCAAACTCGCGATTGGAGCTTTGTTAGGTGGCTTATCCCCATCAAAACATGTAGAAAGAATTTAATCGGAATAAATCAAACACCAGACTCCAAGAATAATCAGTTCTCAAAAAGCTATCAGAAAGGAGCTGTTCCCAGAAAACATAACATTTGGGAAATAGAAGTAACTGATAATGCTTTTCTGTGGCTTAGCTGCCATTTCTGCCAGTTGAGACCTATTTTATAAATATTATCTTCAAATAACTAATAGATTTAAATGTTAACACCATAATCAAGTCCTCCCTCATATGTTAGTAGTTTAAAAGATAAACTACAGAGAAGTCCAGTGCAATAATACGTGCCACAGTGGAATGGAGCAAAAGAAATCTGCTTCTTTCTCCTGTTGTTCTGTAAATGGGCACCTCATCAGCTAACTGATGTAGTCAGTTTGAAGGACCCCCAGATGCTAATCACCCAACCAAAGGAGGACTGCCATTTGTAGGCAGCCAGGCTGGCCAAATCAGGAGTGCAGTTGTATGTACCCTCTCTTCAGTGTGGACAGTTGTGAAGGACTGACTCTTTCTTTGTATGAAGTTTAATCGTTATAGTCTTTGAACCTTTAGTTAGCTTCTTTAGTTCTAAATTAACTTCAATAAAAAATAACCCAAAATCGAAAAATAAATCACATTTTCTTCCCCACCTCCTTCCCTCTTGGTCCACAGTGCATTTGATTATGACACAGAAAACATGAATTCTGAAGACATATATAGTTCTCTTCGTGGAGTTACTGAAGCCATTCAAAACTTCAGTTTCCGTAGTCAAGAAGATATGAATGAGCCTATGAAACGGGATTCCAAAAAAGACAATGATGGTGATTCAGTGAGTATTTAAATGAAAGACAATAATTGTATCAGCAAACCAAAATAGGACCTGATTTAGTAAAATTGGTTTATCTCTAAGTAGATTTGTATACTAAGATAATTTTTTTTTAAAAACCCAAAAACACGACGTCTCAAGCCCCATTTCCAAAAGTTACTTAGAAGCCAAGTCCCATTGATTTTCAGTGAGACTTAGACTTACATTTCCAAGTGCCTAACTTTTGAAAATAGGCTCTTAAATCACATAAGTGCTTTTGAAAATTTTACTGCTAGCCTTAAAGCAGGGGTGCACAACATCCGGCCCAAAGGCTGGCTGCAGCCTGCCAGGGCAGTCCCAGTGACCTTGCCATAATTCTTTATCATAGCACTCATTCATTATTCTTCCATAAGGATCAAAATATGGAAAAGCATTTGAAAAATAAATCAGAGAGTCAAATTACTTCCCATCACCATAAATTGTGTGCTCACTGTGTGGTGATTTGCTATCTGTTCCTGTGCTTACACGTGCTTTCCGTTTTCCCACTTGCAATCTACTGTATTAATTTGAATCTAAGACTAGTTCCCCCACTGTTTAACATGGGTTGCGGGGTCTGGCCTTTCTATTAAAAATTGCTGATAATCAATCCATATATTATTTGTGTCTAAAAGCTTTGGGCAAAATTTGTAGATTAGACTTCAGGAACTCTCGTCACAAAGCAGCTGAAAAATTAGCCATTTACTTTGGTGCCTTAAATACCTAATTTTGTTTCCAAGATGAAATTTTGCTCCTTTTTTCAGTGCAGTTTTAGACATTGTTCATATGCACTATTTGAAAGGAAAACTAGGTTTTTTAAGTGAGCAGAACTATTGCAAAAACTCTTTGTACAAAGAGGCCTGGTATCAACTTTTTTAATTGGCTTGGTTTGAGTCACAATCTCGTAGGTTATTTTTATTCTCTACTGTTAACCCTGGAGCTGCAATAAATTGAAAACAGTGTGTGTATGTTTCATGTTTTGTGTAATTTTTTTTTATTTCCCCTGTAGCTATGCAGTGGTTCTGGAATAGCGGATCTGCGAGCAGGAAGTGGTTTTACTGATACAGGCCGAACAGCTCTTGATAACAAAACATCATTACTTAACACGATGCCTCCTCACTCTTCACCACGTTCACGAGATTATAACCCGTATAATTATTCAGATAGCATCAGTCCTTTTAATAAATCTGCTTTAAAAGAAGCCATGTTTGATGATGATGCAGAGCAGTTTCCTGATGGTAAGTCTTAATTAGAAGGAAAAATGGTAAGTTTTTTTTCTGAATTTATGAACGATAGCTATACAGTTTTAGCACCATAAATTCAAAGGCTGAGCTAAACTATTAGCTGTATATAAAGGTATTTGAAAGAACAGGTGTACTGAATGTAATAAATCATATTTGTTAGACTTAGTTTATTGGATAGCAGTCCTGTCAAGTGAAATTTTGAATGAAGCAATCTTGTAAAAGCAAATAGAATTCTAATACAGTAAATACTGTAGCATTAATATCTTTCCTTGTAAATTCAAAGTATTCTGGGAAAAGTAAAGGACTCGGTTAAAGAAAGAGAATTGTTATGCTTTATTTTATGCTATGTGGTTAAGCTGCAGTTTCTCTAAGTATATTTTAGTGCATGACTGGCAAAGGAAAGTTGTTCCAGATTATGTTGCTCTATACTACTTTAAAAAAAAATTTTCATGGGGAAAAAATCTCTGCAATGTACATAACAAAAAGCAAATGGGGCCACGTTGGTTCCAGCTTCAGGTGAAAGATAAACTGGGTAGGGTTTTGCTGGTGAAATATTTTTATTTGAAACAGAAGTCTGGTATTGTGTGTTGACTAAACATTATGGGGAAAGAAAATGCACCTGCTGAATAGATTAGTATATTTAACCCACATAAACATAGATGTTTAGCTTGCTGCTTTGTAAGCTTTTAAATTGCATTTTAAGCTTTCCCTATGTATGTTCTTGTAATTTTTGTCAGCAAAAGTTTTATTTAGCATGTTTCCTTTTCATATTCTACATTGCTCATTTGTCTTCCCTCATTCAACTAGCTCATGGTGTTTTCTACGAAGTGCAGTCTTCAGTCTGTTGTGAACTTTTTGTCCAGTTTTCAATTGGCCTGTCATATTTTTTAACCCAAAAAATTGATAATCATTTAAAAAACACCGTCCCCCCCCCCCCCCCCCCCCTCCCCCCCGGAAGTTTTGTTTGATATATCTCCATATGTAGCAAGGATCCTAGGATTATGCATATGACTGTATCTACTGAGCCCTCCCTCCTTCACTACTCCCCCTATCTAGTTTAGTTAGTACAGCATTCCTTGATTACTTAAATTGATATTATTTTCAGTTAAATTTATACTGTCCACAGATTTTAAGCGGTGTCTGCTCTGCTGCCTCTATCCCCTTGTCTTCCCCTTGCTCCCTGACACTTTCACGCAGGGTTCTGGGCCTGGCCCAGCACAGCCCAACAGCATCAGTTGCAGTGGTGTAAGCTCCAGTCCAGTCTCAGACCAGGGCTGGAGCTTACACCACTGCAACTGCCATTGGCAGTGGCAGACAAGGGCTGCCACTGCCAAGCTTGGTGGGAACCAGAACACTGTGCGTTCTGGAACAGAGCCTAAGCCACAAGGGAAAGGTAAGGTTGGGGGGGGTCACTTAACTCCCCTATGACCTGCCTCCTGCCACTGCTTTCCCCCCCAACAGTGGTGGAAGTAGGGAACAAATTTAAGACAACCCTCCAATAATTAGCTCCTATACATGAAGAATTAGAACAAATGTATAAATATTGGAAAGTTATCTTAAATTTGAAGTCACCTTAGAGTCAGGTAAATATAGGTATTTATTTGTTCCCTGTCTATTTTGTTCAGTATGTGACTGATGCATTACAGTCTACTAGGGTAGCTTTACTGCCTCCCTTTGATTGCCCTTATGAACTGTGAGGAGTCACAGCTATTACTCTTTCAGCCATCACTGGTAAACATCTTCCCTTCCACTTGAAGGAACGCACAGGTACATTTTCTATTCCAACTTCTTCCCTACCCCATAACCCACAAACATGCAACATACCTGTTCCTTGGGAGTCCCAATTTAGTTAAGTAGTGAAGTATATAAACATTATTTTAGACAGCCTCACATGCAGTTGCAGCTAGTCATGAAGCCTGGTGAATATATTTACCTAAGTAAATTGGATGATGGAAAAAATACCTCTCTTCATCCAAATCAAACATAATTGCTTTAAGAACAAGATCACCAAAATTGGTCTTCCTTGCTCTGTCACATTCCTTCTGATTTACAAAAAAGAAAAAAAAAAGATGTTGGTTAGGAGAATCTAAGCTTACTTTTTGCATTTTTTATAAAATTCTTTTACCATTACTATTTACTAATCTTCAAATTATTTTGTTCTGAGTTCATACCATACTTGGAATACTTTTCTAGGTCCCAAAGAATAACTATATTATAAAATGTTAGTCCTGTAAAAACTGCTAAATTCTTAATTCATGAACTGATGCTGTTACGTTTGAATGCTTTTAACACGAGCAAAAATTTATGAGGCTATCATGCTGATAATTGTATCATGGACTGATAGGACCTGTTTCCCTAATTTAATGCCAATATGTGTTCTCGGTATGAGAATTTATCATGGTAATTTATCTTCAAAACCTAGTACACAGGTTTTAGCAGTAAAAATAATCACATTACTTCAGCAAAAGTATGTTCTCTGTTCCAGTCATCTCTACTAATTATAACTGTCATAGGGTTGAAGCAGAACACAATTTCAGTCTGTCGTGTAGGTGAACTTTAATTGTCCACTTAAAAAATTCACAATGCATGCATTATTAATTGTGTAAACTCTAACATGCTGATTAATAGAGGCAGGAGGAGAGGGATTTCTATAACCAACATTTTTGTTTTCATGTCCTTGGCTAGTCAGCCAAATCAGAATGCAAATGGAACAGGTGAGTTGTCTACTGTGAACAGAAGAAAGAGTTATGATTTAGATGTGCTCTAGATGCTGAACCATTTACCAAGACAGTAGAGAGATTCACTTTTTGGGTTCACTTTTTACTAGTTTATTCTCCTTAACCCATCCTCTTACAGAATAGCAAAAGCAGAATAATAATCTCACGGACTGTGTTTAATTGATTAGATCACAAGGAAAAATCAACAAAAATGGTTCTTGCAGAAATATTTACTTTAATATTCATATTGGCACCCGCTGCTTTTTCTTTTAAATTTGAATGTGCCCTTGGGCACACAAATGTTGGGAACCCCTGATCTAGATTACTTGGTTTGCTTACACACAACAGTAATCTGAGAGGGGGGGAGGGAATTTGTTTGTTTGGAAAGCTGCTGGTTGGGGCGGGCAGGGAGCACTGGTGCAAGAGTTGCACAAAAGCACTGGTGCAAGGGTTAGGGGAGGAACCCTTTCTCCCAAAGGGAATTCAGCTCACTTCTCATTAGTATCACAACTGAAGGTATGAGAGGGGTTGACAGTAGGGCTGTGTAAAATTTCACCGGCTGTTTCGGTTCGACACTGTTTTGACTCGCTTTGAGCTCGAAACAGCAAAATCGAATTGAAATGAAAGGCGTCAAAACAGGCTCGAAACAAAACAAGTCGAAATGTTTCGAGTTTTGAAGCAGCCAGCAGTGAGGTGGTGGGAGATGGGAGAACCAGGGCTGTGCTCCCAGCAATAGCTGGGAGCGCAACCCTGGCTCTCCCTGTCACCTGCCGCGGGGCTGCGGGAAGCTGATCACAGCGCAGAGGAAGGGAACTGAGCCCGGATTTCCCATTCCCAGCCCGACCTAGCACTGCTTCCCTCCCTCATCTGGTAGGCAGATCGGGGGCCCGCAGCCCTGATCTGCCTGCCAGATGAGAGAGGCTGTTTTGAGCTTCCCCATTATAGCAAATGGGGGAAACGTCAAAACAGCCTCACCATTTTGACAAAGCAAAATGGAACAGCTGTTTCAAATCAAAATGAAATTCAAAACAAAATGCTTTTCCATCAAAACCTCGAAACTCAAGTTGAAACGGAATGGTGCCGTTTCGCACAGCCCTAGTTGACAGTTCCTGCCAACAGCTCTCTAGCTCCCCTTGCTGATGAGTGCTGGCAGAGCAAGTTCCCAAGGCACTTTTTTTTTCCTCTTTTGGGTAGCATACCCTCTGAATGTGATGCAGGGCACGTCCATCAGGCAACATGATGAGTTTGCCCATAAGTTTCCATCAGGTGATGTTACTTGTTGCTTGATGGAAATAATATCTGCCAGGGGCCTTTAAGACCTATGTAAAAGGCATGTAAGTTTCTTTTCCAGAAGCAGAATATATTACTATTTGGTAATGGAGAAAAGATTATTTGGTAATAATTGAACTCGCATGGAGACCAAGGTTTTAAGTTTGAAGATTTGCAAGCATCCTAGGGTTTTTTTGCCCAACCTGTATAAATGCCAACTTAGTTATCCATGCTTCACTCATCACCATAGTATCATTTCCTGCAGATTTAAAATTATTCTGCATACACAGTTTGTCTAAATGACAGTAGTCAGAGCAGCAACAACCTTAAGAAATTCCCATGGTCCTCATTAACTTGGTGTTGCTGCAGCTTCACTTTTAGTGCTACATTTTCATGTAGAAGGAATATTTGTTGGTACAATATGTAGAGAACTCCCACAAGTGCAATGAAGCATCAATTTCCTTTTAACCCCCAAAAACTAAGCCACATATGCTTTAAGTTTCTTACTTAAATGGGTTAAATGCTAATTATGGGGTAGGGTGAGAAGGGAATATGCTCTGTTCATCTAGGAACAGATGTTTCCTGTGTCCTTGAATAAGTTGTGCCTGTGCCTATCCCAGACCAAAAATATCCCAGGATAGGCATATACACGCGTCACCCTTCTAATCAGGGGTTAGTGATCATTTGAGTACAGTGCTGCTTTTCTGCCATTGATTCAGTGATGAAATTTTGGGATAACCATACAGATGTACTTTGCGATATCCCGGGGCAGTATTTCCCAACCTTTTCTAGCCCAAGGCACACTTACATTAATAAAAATTTTCCACAGCACACCTGTTAAGGCATTCCCCATCCTCATACCTATTGTAGCTCATTGCCATCGCAAAATTCCATGGCACGCATGTTCATTTCTGCCGCCGCACACTGGTTGGGAAACATTGTCCTGGGGTAAAATCTTGGTACTTCTTAACTGGGAAACGTTTTTAGGATTTATCCTGGGACAGTGGACATGGATGTCTTTACGATTGCAGTTTGGTCTAGGATAAAAATGGCTTATCCCAGGATAAATGTGATACCTGTTTGCAGCCTATCTAATATAAAAAAGGTTTTAAAACCTTCAGTTTCAACACTGGAAGATTTAAAACCGAAATTTTGTTTCTCAGCATTATCCAGACACTGTTTTGATACAGCATCGTAAAGGACTGTTGGCTATCCTGAAAATAACAGTATTTAAGTATTTATTTTGACAATAAAACTATTTTGGCAAACAGATATGAGGAAAATGAAGTCAGTCCATCTTAACACTAGTCAGCTTAGAAAGCGTCTCTGAGTAGGACAATATACATAGACTCTGATGTTTATTGCACCTACAATTTTAAGGAATATGTCCATTTATTCCTTTTCAATAGAGCCTCCCCTGGACCATTCTGATCTGGTTGCAGAGTTACTGAAGGAACTGTCAAACCATAATGAGAGAGTTGAAGAAAGAAAGGCTGCCCTCTACGAGCTTATGAAATTGACTCAAGAAGAGTCCTTTGGTGTTTGGGATGAGCACTTCAAAACAATACTACTCCTGTTACTTGAAACACTTGGGGACAAAGAGGTAAGCTCAGACAAACCCAAATAAGAAAAAGTTGATAACGTACAGATATTTCTTTTGATGTTAGGGACCATTTTTCAGTAACCTGTTCAGTTGTTTGTTTTGTATTGGCTTTAACATGCACCTCTGTGAAGGGGATTAGACAATAAATGTTGCTAGAAATAACTTTTTTATGACAGTAGGCAAATTATAAGTAAACAAGAAAAATTTTAAATTTTGAATAATCTAAGTGTCACAAACAGTGAAAAGCTACCCTTGCTAAAACTCAGTAAGCGGCCCTTCACCTGAAATAATTGCCTGCCCCTGACTTGGGGACATGCACATGGAATGGGAGTCAGTATGTCTAGCTATAGGGAAAGCCTCCAATAAACAAAAACTAGCATAATGACTGTTGTTTTCAGATACCAATTAAAAAGATATTAAATATAAATTAACGTAAAAATCATGAATTGTATATTAAAATGGCACTTACGCTGCATTTGGCTTACTTTGTTTCAGCCAGTGTTTGTGGTGATTGATGGTATAGTGGGTATTATGCACACAAGTAGGAGACTGTTACCTTCTTGATCTAATTTGTATTCTAAATCAGGGCTGTCCACTTGAGTGTATTTGGGGGGCCACAGGCAGTCCCGAGCCATATATCACATTGGCTACACTCTCTGGGCTCTCTCCCCTGCAAATCCCCCCTTTCCCGTGGTCTCCTGTCTCCTGCTGAGTGGGCAACACCTAGTAGCACACACCTGTGGGTCCTTGTCTGCCACATAGCAGAAGAAGAGGCTACCACTAGAGCCTATAAGCCTCCAGCTGGATAGCTGGGGTTTAAATGGATGAAAAACTTAAGTTTGTTTAGAATAATGAAATATTAAGTACATGGTGTGTGTATACATCTTTCAGTCCTTTTTGGAAGGGAGATTTTTTTTCCCTAGCTTTCCAGTGGGACATAAAAATTACCTATGGCACAAAACTTACTAGCTCATTGGCACTCTCCAAAGTCTAAAATCCTAAAAGCAAAACAATACTATTTATAGAAAGACATTTAGAAGAGATTGTAGAGATTTCTAAAATGCAGTAGTTAGATTTGTCAAAACTGTGTGTGTTCCTTGTAATCAGACCTGAAACTAAAGCTCATGGCTATTTGGTGATAGAGATTCAAAAATGATAACAGTGACACACTTTTGTAAATCCTACTGTGAATTACAATATTTTGTAAAATAAATGTTATAAATAATCCAATAGGGTGGCTTTTCATATTATTGCCACATGCTAGGATTAACACATTTGCATCTTTTTTTGATTTGTAGATAATGCTGATAGCCCAAATGTATGTCAATAAGCTCTTTGATTCATTTTATATGGAATGAGGGGTAGGGAAAAGAATGGGTTGCCTTAAAGATTATTTTGCTTATTCCATTTACCGAAAGATTGGGTGCATATTGTATAACGTGGGGTTACAGTGTAACTTGCTTTGTGTTCTGTTTCCAACTGCCAAGCTAATGTTAAAGAGAGATCATCTAACTAAAGAGAAATAACCTAATTATTTAAAACATTTATTTTTTAGCATGCAATCAGAGCTTTAGCACTGAAAGTTTTAAGAGAAATTCTAAGGAACCAACCAGCAAGATTTAAAAATTATGCCGAGCTTACAATCATGAAGACTCTAGAAGCTCATAAGGATCCTCATAAGGAGGTTGGTTAGTTCTGTTTAAAGATGTGACAGATTGCAAATCAAATGTAATGCTTAAAGCATGTGCTTGATAAATTACTCAGTTTGCCAATAAGTGAGTAATTAGTCTGATAGTTTAGGATTTTTGCCCTGGTATTGTCCCTTAATAATGCAGATAAAGTCAATTATATATGAGCCTCCCATGATTCTCTAGGTGCTACTGGTGGGAGTGTTTTCCCATCTTTAGCACTTTGGCTACTTAGTCTGGAGGTCTGGGGAAGGGAAGTTATTTTCAGGGAGCTCTGTAGTTCCACTGGACTTAGACTGGTAGGAGACAGAACTGAACCTGACAAGGGATCAGAGCTCTGTCCCATGCAGTTCCCTAACCAAGTTTTGCCAGTAGTTTGAGAGTTCATTTTTCATATTATTTTAGCAGCAGTTGAGAGAGAAGGAGTAAAGAATGATACTACTGATAGGACTAATCAGGTAGAGGGGAGCAAGCTTGGGAAAGAAGAATAGCAATAAGGGAAACGGGGATATCGGAAGTGTAAGACAAATAAAAGGGAAATCACAGGCAGAAAAGATCCCACCTTGTGGAAAACATGCACACAAAGGGTTAAACAGGAAATGTAAACAGTGCCCACCAAAACACTAAGCAGTTCATCATTGAGGTTGGTAGGCAGAAAAACTCAGAAAACCTTTTCTGTAATTTTTAATGTTAAATTTTCACTCATTTTCTTTCCTTTTTTTATACTCTGTGGAGCTGATTGCCAGAGCTCAAGTTTTGGAAACTTGGTTGCAACCTCTCCATTTTCTTGTCTTCTCCTACTAAACTGTTGATTAATTCCTTCCTTTTTCCTCCACCATTTATGTCAGATTTATTGTAACATCTTCTCCATTCCATTCATTCTTCCAGTCCTGTGCTTTCATTAAATGAAGAAGTGAAACAAAAGGGACAGAGCTGAGGAAGAAATCCCACCCTCCTGAATCCATACCGTTCCATGCTAGCATCATCAGAAGTGGCGGGATTACCTCCTGCTTCCCTTTGTGACACTAGAAACAGACATGGCAACTGGAAGTGGAATGTGTGTTTAGCCCCCCAGAATCAGCCAGAAAATAAATGCAGGCAGTTCTAGAGTATCCATCACAAGTAGCACCAGAGAACAGCTCCCCTGTATATCGGCAACCAAGCTGAGTGAACTGCCAGCCAGCAGGACACAGTTACAGAAGCATGCAATGTGGGGGAAAAACCCTGTCCAATATTGCCATTTGTAACTCGAATACTCATTTGCTAGCTTTCAACTCCTAATTCAAGATTTAATGCTTATTTTTCATTTTTTTCTAGATTTATGCAGACGAGGCTTGCTTTCAGAAGTAAAACTATACTTTTGTAAAAAAAAATTCTCTTAAACCAAAAAAATCTGCCTCCCTAATCAAAAGGACCTGCAAAGAAGTAATGAACTACAGCAGAGAAATCACAATCGAAACTGAAGAAACAACTTAGAACGTTGTGCATGTGTTGGGGTTTTATTTTGTTTTCTTAATCCCCAAGGTTTTATTTTATGCCCACTAAATTAAAATGGTGGGTTTTTAATTGAAACCCACTGTTTCAATTTTTCTGTCACATTATGGTGAGGGGCCCGATCCTTTTTTTTTTTTTTGTCAGAGTCAGAGCCTGCCCGCAGCCAGGGGGCAAGTTTCTGGCAGACTGAGCAGCTCCTCAGCTGTGGGTGTCCCTGGTCTTTCCCTCCAGTGGCAGGGCTGCCCAGGCAGACTGCTTGTAGGCTAGATGCTGCCGCAGCTCAGAGGCAGCACCCAGCTTGGTCCAACTCTTCACTGAGCCCTCCCACTGGAAGCCCACCGGGCACTGCTCCCTGGGCAGGCTCAGGGAAAAGTTGGATCGGGCCAGGTGCTGCCTCTGAGCTGGGGCAGCAGCCTGCTCAGGCAGCCCTGGGGGATGCTGCTGCCACAGAGGGAAGGACTGGGGCCCCCGCAGCTCAGGGGCCACACAGTCCAGCTGCAGCTCACCTCCTGGCTGCAGGAGAGACAGGCAGGCTCCACCAAAATAAAAAAAGAATCAGGCCCCTCTCCACTTCTTTCTTTAGCAGGTACTTGAAAGGTTCATTACTTCCTTCAGCATTTCCCTGCTGCAGTTCCTTACTAACTTGTGAAAGCAGGAGGTAAGGGTGCCAAAGCCTGCTTGTCTCTCCCACAGCTGGGGGGCCACCTGATGGCTCCATTGTTGCAATTTGCAATATTGCAAGCTAACCTACATCCAGATGTGGTTTAATTTTCAATGATGCAGTCATTTAAAAAATCCAAAACTGGCATATGTGTAATGTGTGACGCCATTAAGCAACACAAATTACATTTATGTCGCATATACATCGTAACGACCATCACGTATACAAGTGCCCTTACAGTTGTCAAGGTTGGCAGTGACATAGCAGTTACTAAAGAGGTTCTAGACCAGATTTAACATTCCTTGTCAGGCAGGTTGGAGGAATGTTGATGACTGTATTGGCACCATATAAACATTTGTTTTAGATTATCGTTAAGGGCCACATTTCCTGAAGTACTCAATGTCCAAAGCTTCCATTTAGGAATTTTATGGATACTGAAAAATTCTGCAAGTTTACTTGTTGGGGTTCTCTTCTGATCCAAATGTTTTTTGTAGTATTTAGAGCAGATAATGGGTAATTAAATTATGAATAAAATGTATCTGGTTTATTGTAAGCCTCAGAAGCAGAACTGATAGAATATAGACTGTATAAGCACTTTTGTAAATCATTATTTCTCAATGTCTTTATTTAATATTCATGTAGGTGGTGAGATCTGCTGAAGAAGCTGCTTCAATGCTAGCCACTTCCATTAGCCCAGATCAGTGCATCAAAGTTCTTTGTCCCATTATCCAAACTGCAGATTATCCCATCAATTTGGCTGCAATTAAAATGCAGACAAAAGTAATAGAAAGAGTATCTAAAGAAACTCTAACTCAGCTTTTACCAGAGATTGTGCCAGGTCTAATACAGGTAAGAACCTATTGTAAAGATAAAGAATGAAAATAACTTAAAATCTCTGCAGCATATCACTCAGCTTGCATGAGTTTACATTTGGGTAATAGATGATTGCATCTGGTTTATCAGTCATGAGAACATGTTTTTGACTGTCAAACCGCTAAAATTAATTGTACCTAATTAGAACCCAAAATTTTACTTTGTTCTTAAAGAATAAGATAATTGCATTACATTTTAACTTAAGGGACTATGAATATAGTACTTTTAGGAAGTGTTTCTCAACGTATGGTTCATAAATGGCCTTTAAAGCTCTTTCTTTGTTTCTGAAACTGTTAAAAACAATGTGTGTGATCTGAGTTTTGGGAAGTGAAGTCCAAGAGATGACTCTGCAAGGTTGTACAAATAAATAAATGGTGGAGAGTCAGTTTGAGGCGCCATCATGGAAGAATCCCAGGTAGAGCTCACATGGTTTATTTGTCTGGATGTATGTACAAGAAACAAGAAAGTCTACAAGAAAGTCCTGTTGGAGACGAGAACAGTTCTGGCCTCAATCCAGGCAGGCTTTTCTTTGGCATGGGTAACTGCCTTTTCTGCACGTGGTACTAGTCAGCACCTCAGCAGTGTGAGAACTGGATTCCTTAATACTTGTGCCTAAAACACTTTGCTTCTGCAGCCAAGTAGTTATTCCATGGTCTAGCCAAACATCAGATCGATAACCCTTCCTTCCATGTGCTTCTTTCTTCAGACCTAGCTTTCTTTTCTCCTTTTACAGTGTCTAGCCATACACTTGCCTCTAATCACTAGACACTGGACACCATTTGTGATGGACACTGCATCTGGCTACCTATTTGTCCATCTCCTTTTTATGGATCCCTCTCATAAGAGCCTTTTTTAAAAAAGCCACTGTTAAGTCCCTAAGCAACACCAAGGGAAAAGATGGTATATCTTCCGTTTTTTCATCTCCAGGAAGAGTGATGGCCTGAGCCCTATCCCAAGATCTCAGAAACCCCAAGTACAAAAGAAAATGTGTAGGTTCTTGAGTGTATTTTAGAGGACCCTATTCCTACTTTATGCCAGGGATACTGGCATGTGATTTACCTTAAAGGACACAGATGTTCATGTAACGTATTCAAATCAAGTACCTGAGGCACTCTCATGTGATTTGTTCACAACTTGGCAAGTCTTTGCCAAGGTCCTTGTAGTATTTGCAGTATACTTCAGATGTCAGCCCAGAATTGGGTTTGTACTTTATTGGGTTTATGTAAGAGTTGTATACAATCTCTTTTCTGATGGAAAACCTGTGGCTTGAGCAGAGTCCAGGAATATAGGAAAAATTTAATACAGATCTTATGGCCTTGTTGATCTAGATCTCATTTTTTATCCATCTGAATATGAGAATCTTAAAGCTCTGCGCAGGAGATTTTCATATACCAAACGGACATGACTTTCAAAGAAACAAACTATCCTAGAGTGCTCCAGCAGCTTCGCTGGTATGAGAACATGGACATTTTTCCCCATGAATGGTACTTTTTGCATGCTATTATCTCATAATCCAACACAGAATGCCATGAACCTAATCGCAATAACATTGACTCTCTTCTCTTTCACCCTAGTATGCAGGTTCATTTAGAACTTGGTAAACATTTGCCCCCATTGCAGAAGCCTTGTCTGTATTGGACCTAAATCTTATTTAACAAAATTGATCAGCTTTTCTTAATGAGTGTCTTGTTGGCTTTTCTCTTGTGTGTTTATCAGTCAAAATAGCCTTCCTAATAGCAGTAAATCTGGGAGGAAGAGTAAGTTCAGTGTTTTGATAGCCATTCTTGCTTATATTATGGCCCCTCAGCACAAAGGCATTATGAGGCCTCATCTGAACTTTGTGCCTCAGGTAGTCTCAGGTTTCCTTCTTTGCATCTAAATATGGACAAGCGATTCCCTTGGGTGTGACTGGAAAATAATATTACAATCAGCAACGGAAAGACATCTGGGGGAAACAAAACCTGCCCTTTAGAAAATTCAGCATTATATATAGCATCAGGGGAGATATGGGAGGAGGAACCAAGTACCATACAAAGATTATACCACTGGATTATGAGATGTGTACAGCACTCTGCTACATTTTAGCTGGAAAACCAGTAACTTCTGATTTAAATATTCCTTTCCCCAGTCACCACGGTCTCCATGGCATGCCTTGCTAGGTTCTTTTGATGGAGGTATGCAGAACAGTAGCTAAGGAGCTTGGTGCAACATTATTACTTGGCTTTAACACTGCACTCCATATTCCGTGTAGGAGAAATGGTGTAGCAGTCTGTGCCTGACTAAGAACTTCTTACCCACCCACCATCATCCTGGAGGAGTGCTGTTTGCTAATATTCCACAAGTATGAATGGGCAGAGGCCCTTAAAGATTATGTTACTTAACAGTAACACTTCTCGGAGATATGCCTGTTTCTGTTCATACCATCTTCCTGTTCCCTGGTATCTGAGACCACTCTATCTGCAGGGCAGCAGTGTTACAGTGAAGGCAATGTGATACTATTCTCTTGAGATTTTGTGTAATTGTGTAACACTGTAATGGAGACAAAGTTTTTCAAGGCAGTTCTGCACTTCAACACCTTGCATGCTATATATCTATAAATATTACAAAGGGATGACTCCCAAAGACAAAAGCTACTGGTAAGTAACCTTTCTTGCATAGGCAGTCTTAATTTGTTTGACAATCTAAACATTTAGTGTAGTTTTTTTATATGTATCTATAAAAAGGAAAAGTAAATTTACTGCTGGTTTTAGTCATTAAGTAATATATTAGTAACGTTGATTTTGTTGTTTTCTAGGGCTATGATAATTCAGAGAGCAGTGTTCGTAAGGCTTGTGTTTTCTGCCTTGTAGCCATCCATGCAGTAATTGGCGATGAACTTAAACCACATCTTAGTCAACTCACTGGCAGTAAAGTAAGTGAAAGATAATTTTCAGCTATCCATAATTTCATGTGTATGTTTACAGTGTAGTTGGAAGCGTCTGTTCAAACTAAGATATGTAGGACATATTTGAAGGACTGATGATCAGGGTTAATGAAGCTGCTACCAAATTAATAATCTTTGTGACTGAAATGTAAGACTCAGAAGCTTGCAAACCATAAATTCAATTATCCAGTTCTTATACAAGTGAAGTTTCTATTAGAAGAAATGTCCGATTAAAACACATATTCTGCTGTTTTAGATTTAGACTTGGTTATATAATAGATTATCAAAAGCAAAATCTTTTATGCATCAGAATTTAAAAAAACATTTTAGTTAAAAAGTTAGAGATTACATTTGTATTACATTTTTATGCTTGAATGGACTATAAAAACTTGTTCTTGTATGTATCAGGCCATCCCACAGTTGAACCTAGTAAGTATTGCTTTGCTTTTCTCTTCTAATTCTCCTCTATACATTTCTATACAATGTTGCCTTTTTTAAAGCTCACTGTTTGGTGACAGAACTCAGCCTACCTTGCCTCTATGTTCTCCTTGATTTCTTGCATACCATAATCCTCTTAGTACTTCAGTGTTTTATAAATTAAAAAAAAAGAATCTTACAGCTTTTAGGATAGCTTCAAATCAGCAGAAAATTTTAGTTTCATTGACATCTCCCATATAGAAGACTTTACATGGAAACAACTATATGCTAATTTTATTAAAACTTATCCTTTTATCACATAAAATAAACATAAGATTATATTTCTATAGTGTGGTAAGTGATAGTACTGTAAATATTCCTCCTTGTGCAAAGTGGATGTATCCTTATTTGGCTTTTACATGGCTTTGCTTAAGGTGACCCTGGACAAGATGGAATTTTTAGGAAGTAAAAGGACCACTGAAACCTGATCATTAAAGACATTCAGAACCCTAACAATGACTGTGACTAGAATTAAATGAGTTTTCCCTGATTAAAAATATACCAGCTTAGTCAAGTTGGCACTGAACTCAGGAAGTAAGCAATATTAACTTCAGCTTAGCTATTTTAGCTCTCTTGTTGCATGTTTCAGATAGGTTGTACAACCTCTAATGAAGAAGGTTGGTCTGAAGTTTTCTGTAGAAGATGGATTAAAAAAAAAAGTTCTTAACTTTTTAAATCCACAACTTGAAGCTAATTTTCATTTTCACCAAAGGGAAAATAGTTCAGTATTTTATTTCTGCTGGGAGCCTTATTTAAAGATTTTACTATTACACTTTGTCTCTGATAAATACTAAATAGTGAATTTCTGGATTCAATCTGCAGATGAAATTACTGAACCTTTACATCAAACGTGCACAGACAGGCTCTGGAGCAGGTGATACAGCAACAGACGTTTCTGGACAAAGCTAATGAATCTGGCGACAGTGAACCAGGTCTCCTAAAGAAAGGACAGACCCTCATCAGTGAAAGGAAAATTCTCACGTTCACCTTTTCAAACTCTTCTCGTTCTGTTTTGGGTTTTTTGTTTGTTTTTTGGGGATTTTTTTCCTTTAACCGGAGGCTAACCTCAGCCTGCATGTGACTGTTGCAGTAGAGTTATTCCAAAACCAAGGAGAAACAGTATTAATATCAGTTGATAAAAGAAATTAATTAAAAAAAAAAATCTAATCCATCACTTTTCCTGTTCACACTCCTCTGTGTCTTCCCATTAACTTTTGCCAGTGTTAAATTGTATTTAAAAGAATTTTAAAAAATGCTAATTAAACAGGAATGCTTTAAGCTTTAAAATTTAAAAATCTAAATTCCTTTGCTTTCATTTGGCTGCAGAATAACATTTTTTATTGTTCTTTTGTTTAAGTATATCATGTTCTTTGCTAGAAACAAGAAATGGTGCGAAACAAGGCAGGACCAGTCTGAACTGCATCTAGACTCGGTCACTGTATTGGTGGTACATCATCTTATTTACATCTTGTTTGGGATACTACGGAGACTGAAAATTATACCTGTTTAAAAAAAAAAAAGCTGGATTGATCCTGTTCTGTAAAAGTGATATTGTTCATTGGTTGTATATGTTTGTCCCATAAATAAGAATTTAGAATGAGCAGTAGGGGACTAGTACCACTAGTACCTCCTAATGTGGAAGACAGCCTTTTCAGAGTACAGTGGTACAGAACTGGTGATAGTGTGGCAGCCTGCTATCTTGCAGCACAGTAAGCGATCACTTGATGGACATGAACCATCCTTGTCACCATCACTTCTTCAAGCAGGATGCCTTAGAATGGAGTGCTCTGACCAAGCATGCTCAGTACGTATTTATATTTATCACTAGACTGTTTCCTCTCAACCTAATTGCTGGAATCAGTAGTTTTGTATCATAAGTCACACTGGGGATATATGACAGCAGTGCAGAGGAGTGTTTATTGGTTATCTTTCTAAAACAGTAAGATTTTTCTGCACTGAATTTTAGGGTGGGGGGAGAATCACAAGCGCTATGGATCTTGCCACTCTTTAATTTAAAAAAAAAAAAAAACAGTTTTGGATGAGTTGGGAAAGCTACACCAAATTATTTGCATGGTTTCCTTGAATAGCATTGTCAAGACCCATCTGGATTAAGCTGTGGAAATGTTTTCAGGTTGTTTTTTGCATTTTTTATTTTGGTTTATTGTGAATAATACTTCTTTGTATTTATGAACTTGATAACGGAAAGAGAACAAAGATCAAGTAAATACCTGTCCCTAAATGTCTTCTGTTTCTCAGATGTGATCAGTGAGCGACAAGCTACTTATCTAAGAGATGGGGTAAAACAGCACCCTTTCCAGGAATGATGGAAATTAACGTTTTTTTGGGTTTTTTTACCATTTCATTGTCTAGTTTTAGGAAGTGTGTCCTGATAAGAGAGAAAATAGCAGTGCCAAGGATGTTCTGTGCTAGGCTAAAATTCTCTCTACCTCTTCAGGGTGATTACTTTTGACTGAGCTGCTGCCCATAGTGTCTTGTGGAAAAGCTGTCTATGGAAATCTTTTTTTTAATTATTTTTCAGATTATCATTTGTTACTGTGTATTCAAAGCCGTATTCTACAACACATAGGCAAATATCATGACAAACTGCTAATGCACTGTACTTACTAGTTACCCTGAATCACAAAATTGAATAACAGTAGAGCTGAATACTTGCAATTGCATACATTGACAGGTCATTTTCACTTTGATTTGAAGTGAATTTGATAAAGAGGAGACATGGTTGTTAAGCAATTTGCTGTTGTTGCAGAGATCTGTCCTATTGGAGAAAAACTGTAGAAATGTATGTAAAAACTTTTAAAAAAGAAAAAAAATTGTCATTTGTCATCATCCCTTTTTTTAGCAGCTGCATCAGGAAAATAGTATCTCCCCTTTCTTTCCTCCGTTGTGTAACATTCTTGTTGTTTTCTACTGGTTAATTACATTGTGTATTTATAGTTCTATGCTTACCATTGTGCATATACTGGCAATAAAATGTACATAACATTACTTGAAAAAATTAACCATGTATATAAGCTGTATTTCTGTTTTATTGAATCATGTTCTATATGACAGATTATAAATGTCATTGACATCATACAACCAAAGCAAATGGTTGTAGAAGAACCTACATACTTGCTCTGTTCAGAATACTGTTCTTCTATACTGCTCATAAGCATAACTAGTATGCCATGAAAGCGTACTATTCATATAGCTACACAACCAAAAGCAGTCGCTTCAGAGAATGAATAGAATATTTTAATTTATAACAGTTTATAACTTTTATTGACCTACCAAATCTCGTTTGTTAATTGGGAGACAGTCTCTTGGATGAAGTTTTAAGGTGTTTTAGAAATACCCTTTTAGCAAGGAACAGTCTTGCTATCTATATTTCACTGGTATTGAAAAACTTTTTTTTTTAATTAAACAAATGTGTAGTCAAGTTAAACAGCCCTACTTTTAGCCCCAATTGCATTTTAATTTGGTTTTGCTCACAAATTATTCTTCTAAAGTGGTCACTTCAAGAGGACTTTAGCAATTGCAGTCTGTCACAATCAGAGTTTTGTTCCATTTATATTGTAAAATAAGTATGTTGAATTGTGCAGTTGTAAAATATGTTTGTGGTCTGCTGTCATATTTTTTCCTTGACTTGTAGGACAGAACCTAGTAGTTCACATTTCTTCCTAAATTAAATTGTAGGCTCAGAAATATTTTTTTACATATATGGAGGGGTGCCTAACATGTTTTGACTAAAGTTATATTTTACAAATCATTTAATTTTTGTAGTGTAGACATAAATAATTTTTGTGTTCTTAAATTAACTGTAATAATTATTTTATCTGACCATTCCTGTCAGTCAGAATAGAGATTGCTGAATGTAGACCTCCCTGCATACATACTTGTAGGCTTCTAGTAATCCTAGCCTGAATTTGCAAAGTTGGATAAGAAGATAATGGTGGCAAACAAACAAAAAAGTAAATGTTTACTTTTGTTGTAAGTATAGAGTGGCCCTATACAGGTATTTACATAAGCAAAGCAAATGTTATAGACCTGGTAACACTAGCCTGTGTTTCAGAAAACAATTTATTGATTTCAGTATTCCACTGTTTACACTTGTTGATAGGGAGTAAGTATTATGTTCTCAGCTAGACAGAGTTACATTTCCAGCTAGGGAACTTCCTAATTATCCAAATGGTGGCTACCACAGATTTTTAACCAATATAATAAATACAAAAAGTGTGTGTGTGTATGTGTGTAACTTTATCAGCAATCGGAGAGATTTGTAATCAAGTTATGCATAATTCCTGCAAGATTCATTGTATATAATTGTTTAAACCGTTCATAAATGTCTAATTTTGAAAACTGAATCGGAAACAACATAAACATTAAATACACGCAATTAAAAGTAATTTAATTATCAGTTTTAAATGAAAAATTGTAGTGGGGTAATTGTATTTGAAAATTCTTGTGTTAATTCATACAAAAGTATTTTTAAACTTTAAGCGTTCTGTTACTATTAAGCAGTAGCAGCAGATAATGACCAAATATTACAAAAGATACTTTTCTAAATGTGAATTGTTTTTGGAGGCATTGTGATAATGGTTTGAAAATACCATACCATTAATTTGTGTAATTTCCATCAAGTATAAAAATGGTACAGAAATGTATTTAAAAGTAGTTCAGAAACTAAACTGCAGTTTCAAGTTGGTAGTGTGCAGAAAGAAATATAGCTATTTCACAACTGTGAAAATTATAGCTCATTTCATCATATCCTTTTTTTTCAATATAGATTTAGTTTTGATAAATTGTATTTATGAACTTACATTTTCACTTCTGTATTTACAGGCTGTATTATGCTCACTTATATTTTGTATAAGCATTAACTTAAATGTGCTTATTTAAAAAAATGCATATGTATTATTTGAAAACAGTACTAGAGATCACTGTGAATGTATTCAATCAGTATTGTTCTTTGAAAATAGTGTTTTGGAATTATTTTTTTTTTAGCCAATTCTTTCTATTGCCCCTTCCCCCC